GCACTGGGTGTTGTATTGAAACCAATCTGACAATAAATTTCATATTAAAATGCATTCATTCATTAAAAAAAAGGTCTCTTCTTGCTTCACGCCACCACAGTGTTCACTGTCTATTGCATTTTCATGCCAAAATAAAGGTGCCATGTCCTATGGATCTTGTAATACTATTGCCGTTTCTTTCACACTCAGCCCATTTCACTCATTTACAATCTTCCAGGTGCTGAGGTCTATGAGTTTGAAATTCTGGTTTGTCAGTCCTTAAGTTTTATTAGCCTCATCTAGTTCTCAAGTAGTGAAGAAGAAACAGCAAAAAAGAGCCTAAGTAATGGTCTTCCTTTTGTGTGTTAGCTGAAAAATAATCAGATCTTCCACACTAGATCTCTCATCTTGAAGGCATCTACTATATATTAAGACACTATCATCTATTAATTTAGACAGGTGTGTGTCCTCCTCAGGAGGAAGGGGGAAGGAGAAAAACCCCACCCATCCACATATGATCACTAGATAGCCCAGATGCCAACTGCAAACATATTGATGAAATAGGTAACGTTCATCATTAAGGAAGAAAGGAAAGGAAAGGAAGGAAGGGAGGGAGAGAGGAAAGGAGTAACACTGAGTACCTACTAAGTGGCAGTCATTTTCACATGTCCTATTTAATCACTATGTTTTCTCTGAGAAGAATTATTACTGTCATTTTTTATTAGAAAATTTGATTTTTAGAGGAGTTAAATCACTTTTCTATGGTCACACGTCTACTTATGTGCTAAAGGTAGGATTCAATCCCATGTCAGAATGACTGCAGAGCCCATATTCTTTTCCCTACACCACCAGATCCTTTTGCAAATGACAAGAGAGTGATATAAACTATTCCAGTATGTAAGCTTGAAATCAGGCACTTGCCAAAAAACAATAGTGGGGAGATAAGAAAAACAACTTAGGACTCCTGTCCCAACTTCAGGGAATTTTTCCTAAACCCACTTGCAATAACAAAGAAAAAAGAGAACCACTAAAAACCTTTGAGAACCGTTCCCTCATTGATGCAGACACCAACCTCAGCAAAGACTTACCTGGTCCAGCTCATATGGTCAGAAAATGCAAGGCTCACAAGGATCCAAGATAAGCTCCTCTAAATTCTTCCTTCACAAAGTTAAAAAAATGAAGCCAAATGTCGCTGATAGCTAGAAGTGAAGTAGAGCCAGGTCTACAAGTCTCCTTCTTCCTAGCCAAATTCTCTTTATTCTCCATTGAGCAAAGAGAAATTAGAAGAATGCAAGATATGACCCCAATTCACACCTACAATCTGGCCCTTGTGAAACTAACTGCTTTTTATAAAAACTAGGCCAACTATCAAGTATAAACATGCTAATGTGCGTCCAATAAAAACAAGCAGATTTCTAAGGGTGGAAAGCTGGAGTAAAGCAGAGCACTTGATGCCCAGCACATGTATGCACAAAGTGGGAATTCATAAATGCCCACTGGCTTGAACAAGATTGAATCATGTTGATTTCCAGAGCAAAGAATCCTGCATGTTACTGCCCTTCTGTAGACTTTTAGCTGGTTACCAAAGCAAAATCAAACTAGGGAAGAGCAGGTTTCTAAGGACAATAATAATAACACTCAAGTAAATAAATTCTTACCAAGGAATGAGAGAGTTACTCACACTCACTCACACACACACACACACACACACACACACACACACACACACACACACACAGGTTTAAGTTTCCAAACAGGAAGAAAAGCAATTATTTG